GTGTGATTAAATTCACGGCGCAAGGCGTGGCGTTTGTAGCTCAAGTGGTAGAACGTTGACTGCGTAAAGGCCTTTCCTACCATGCGGGTTTGACTCCCGCCAAACGCCGCGAGTTTTTTCACAATTGGCTGCAAAATTGTATACAATTTCATCTAAAGGGACATTGCCGGCAAAGACAAGGGAGAATGGAATGACCATTTATGGCTTTTTAGCTGGTCATACCAAACCCCATCTGGTGCACCACCCGGCCTGTCGAGTAGAAGTCCAAAGTTCTAACCCACCAAGCCACAGGCCTGTTGTCTTGTCGGTTTTGAGCAAGAATATTTACATTAGTGGATTGGCGCGCACCGATCGGTTACGGGACTTTTAACCACTGTTCAACTGCTGGCGAGGATCGAGAGCGAGCCTCAATGCAGAACGGGACGAACGAGTCCCGGAACCGATCGATGAGCGCAAATGTGCCAACTGTTTTATACCCTTGAATCCGCTCACATAGATGTTAAAAGTTTCCTTCCCCGAATTCTAGTCTTTTGACTTAACTTTTCAGAAATGGAACGGGTACCCTTTCCTCCATTCTACTCGTCACAACAAACTGCTGAATGAACATGAGACTACCATCATTCCGCGAGATACGCGCCTTTTCTACAACGAAGAGGACTGGATAAAGTACAAGGAGATTGTTCGGGCACCATCTTTGCCGGGCTTGGGCCTGCGAGAGGTGCTTAGCAGGCGAAATCGGCCTTTTCCAATGACAAAGACCAAGAGGACGTATCCTGAACTGCACAATAGCCCTATGAGACTATACTCAGGCCCCTAGGTACAAGATATAAAAGGCTTATTATATTTACCCGAATGACGAATTGCGTACCCCTTATTTCGGCATAATAACAATAAATGTCGTCTCTACCCGTAGAACCTTTTCTTTCTATTTAGAAGTCCACAAGTCTAAATGACGTGTTATTCCAGAGTTAGACATCGCAAATTTGATATAGTTTGTGAGCCGCATCCTACAAATGACTAAGTCGGGAGAAACAACAGTCAAGCCGGGATCCAACTGTTGGTCCTCTGAATATCTGGAGTTGGCTGGGTTGTGGCATACTTACTGTGTTTTGCTTAAATTGGAGCCTATTACCAAACAAATCTCGGATTATTCAGTGTTCGGGAACAAGTACATTATGAAATAGCAAAAGTTTTTAGCCGCACGGTGCCGGGCTAGTGGAGATCCGTGTTTATGCAACCTTGTTTGCACGTTTATCTCGTATCACTCTACACTTGCAATTTTAAAGAAATAAGTTGACATCCAAACGATGTTCATCCGGTCA